GTCGAATTAATTTGATGGCCTGCTCCCAGTTGGCTTGTTAGCTCAATTGGTAGAGCGCTGCACTAGTATCGCAGAGGTCAGTGGTTCGAATCCCGTACAGGCCTGAAATTTTCAGGTCTGATTTTCACTATTGCTCAAATAGTGCTTTACTGCGAAGGGTCGTGCACATATACGTTTCATAACCGCAGTTCATACATATGTTTCATATGTTTGTTGTTGTTTGATTTATCTTCTACGGGTTTAAGTCGAATTAATTTGATGGCCTGCTCCCAGTTGGCTTGTTAGCTCAATTGGTAGAGCGCTGCACTAGTATCGCAGAGGTCAGTGGTTCGAATCCCGTACAGGCCTGAAATTTTCAGGTCTGATTTTCACTATTGCTCAAATAGTGCTTTACTGCGAAGGGTCGTGCACATATACGTTTCATAACCGCAGTTCATACATATGTTTCATATGTTTGTTGTTGTTTGATTTATCTTCTACGGGTTTAAGTCGAATTAATTTGATGGCCTGCTCCCAGTTGGCTTGTTAGCTCAATTGGTAGAGCGCTGCACTAGTATCGCAGAGGTCAGTGGTTCGAATCCCGTACAGGCCTGAAATTTTCAGGTCTGATTTTCACTATTGCTCAAATAGTGCTTTACTGCGAAGGGTCGTGCACATATACGTTTCATAACCGCAGTTCATACATATGTTTCATATGTTTGTTGTTGTTTGATTTATCTTCTACGGGTTTAAGTCGAATTAATTTGATGGCCTGCTCCCAGTTGGCTTGTTAGCTCAATTGGTAGAGCGCTGCACTAGTATCGCAGAGGTCAGTGGTTCGAATCCCGTACAGGCCTGAAATTTTCAGGTCTGATTTTCACTATTGCTCAAATAGTGCTTTACTGCGAAGGGTCGTGCACATATACACCATGAGTTATTAGCTCATGTTTGAGCCAATTCAAAACATTCAATAGCCAGCTTTGATTAATGAATGTAACAGTTTTAGTGATCCTCTCACAATAAAGAGTTGTAGATTTGCTGTTTCACCTGCTAGTAACTGCTGGCAAAGTCTGGCAAACAATGGCTTTCTAGACAGTCACCAACCTCTGTTGTGCCATGAATTAAAAGCTTAGACTAAAATCAAGAAGAACAGACAGAATAGCGCGGTAGTGTCTCAAGCTTACTCATAACAGATGACAAAGGCTTTATTCCAGTTTCTATTTGCACCAGACTTCTATCCATCAGTTGTTCCTCCAGGTGCCTGTAGTAAACAAAAAATTATCCCAACTTTAGAAAGTGGATGAACCCTAATTGATCACTGTGTCAGAAATGCCACTCTGTGAAGATCTAAATTATGGTGATTTTTCTCCTATATGCCACCACAGCATCAATTCAGGAGCACCCTTCCTCCACCTAAAAAATTGATGCACCCCAACCAAATCGATATACCTTCCCAAGAAAGTGAAGAACGCTTTTGTTTGGTTTCTGTTTGGAGATGGTTGCACTAAAAATGCTTTAAGAAAATATTAATGATGAGACAAGTTTGTAAAACTAAAATTGTTTTGATTTTAGTAAATCTGGGTATCAAATCAGATTACAGTGAAGCAAGCTTTTATCCCAGAGATTCGGTAAACCATATGAGAGACCAGGGGATTCGTTCTGTTGCAGAGACTCCCAGGTAATCTGGAAGAGTTTGCATTATGTTAATGTGTTATTTCAATCCAGCTACAATCATAGTACGGCTAGTTTTTGCATTATTTCCAACAGACTTTGGCTTTTACCTATTTTCGTTTTTATTCATAACGATTACATACAGAAAACCATGTGGATACAATGAAACTTTACTCACTTGTGAATGGCTTTTGATCCAAGAGGGATTGTTTCTACAGCTTTGAGAATGGCAGTTCCTTCATAAATGTGATACCAGAATCAAATGAGTCAAGGAGGTAATAAGTGATATAACATCAATTGCAAGTAAACTGAGTGGACACATACAAGTTATTCAATCCTTACGATCACTTTGTGACAAGACTGGCTCAACTCAATGGTGCGCTGTGATCAGTTGCATAACATGTTCAAGATCATTAAATGGTTTGAACCTGGGGGTAACATGTGAAAGTGTAGTGTGATCATCTATGTGAAGGTAGTCCTGAGAAGGACTGTTGTCAGTGGTGGTGACTGAAATTTCAACAACCTGTGTGGAAGTCATCATCAGAGTCAATCAGACCAATCCCAACTGATCTCTGCCACTTGAGTTTTACAGCTAATGACATCACGGCAAAACCGACCAATCATTTCACACAAACTGGACTAAGAACATTCTACAGACAACAACTATTGAATATGAATATAGTTTACATCTGACCACTTGCAGCCCAGAGGCTGAATTACGGGTGCAGTGTAAGGCGTCAGCATATCAGGCACCTCTGGCAGCCGCTTCAGTCTATCGATCTCACCTTCCCACCCATCCC